CCATATAAATTATATATCACTGTAATCACAAAACTTCAATCTATTTCCGTATTGTAGCGGAATTTTAAATTGTCTTAATTTTCGAGAAAATTTACTCCAAACATAAGGAATATTTTGTTGATGTTTGACCATCAAAATCTTAAAAATAAAAAAGTTGTCTAAAAATTTGCTACAATACGGATATAGTATGATACTTTATCTTTAATTTCCTTCTTCATTTGAGTAAAAATACCTAGCCAGTTTTACATAAAACGTTAAATGCCGAACGCTTATTTTGCTACTTTTTCGGACTATTGACATGGACTCTTAAGTATAGTAAAGAGGTATTATACAGGGTGGTCCGAACTGTATTCCGGAAACTTCGGCAGCAAATTCTGCAGATAAAAATAAGTAAAAAAGTTCGTATAAATGTATGTTCTAAAATGCTTAGTTTCGGAGATACAGGGTGTAGAAGTTTCATTTTTATTTCGATTTTTTCCAAATAATTTCTGAAGTAAAGTCACTATTTGGATGAAAATTGGTGTCTGGAAGTTTTTTGACATGAGAAATTTAATTTTGATATCAATATGACTTCTACTAGTAGAGGGCGCCACCTACATATTTTTTAGCCGGTTTGAAGAGTAATAACTTTTCGTCCGTACCTGTATAAAACTACTGAGTAAAAAATATACATTTACGACGTTTTTTACGTGAAAAAGGTTTCTTGGTAAAAATCGCTACGAGTAATGGTTTTCGAGATATTTGGAATCGAAATTATCAATACCTGTCATCATTGACATTAATTAAACATGTTAACTAAATAGTTATTAGACTGAAATCATAAATTTGAAATATTTTTGTGCCAAAAGTTCAACAGAAACTGTTTTATCATCATTTTTTGCAGAAAAATGTATGATTAATTTAAAAAAAAAATAAAAATTTCCCAAATTTATTATTTCAGTGAAATAATTATCTACTCAACGTGTTTATTTTTCGTCAATAATGCCATGTATTGACTATTTCCATTCTAACTATCTTAAGAACGGCTGCTCGTAGCGATTTTTACAAAGAGATATTTTTTACGTAAAAAGTCACAGAGATGTATATTTTTTCACTCGGTAGTTTTATACAGGTACGAACAAAAAGTTATTACGCTTCAAAATAGTTAAAACACATGTAGGTGGCGCCCTCTACTAGTAGGAGTCACATTGACGTTAAAATCAAATTTCTCATATCAAAAAACTCCCAGCCACCAATTTTCATCCAAATATTAACGTTACTTCAGAAAATATTTAGAAAAGATCGAAATAAAAATGAAACTTCTACACCCTGTATCTCTGAAACTAAGCATTTTAGGACCTACATTTATACGAACTTTTTTACTTATTTTTATCTGCAAAATATGCTGCCGAAGTTTCCGGAATACAGTTCGGACCACCCTGTATAATGGAAAATAAATTTCCTGCAGTTTTTAGTAAAGTATTAGTATTAGTTCTTGTATAGTAAAGAGGTATTTTAATTGTAGCTTTCTCCTAGGCCTTATTATAAATTTTACTAATTTTCAAGGCAGATTTTTGCAAACAGTTAAATGTAGATTCCGAATAAAAGTAAATTCTAGGCGAATGTACGCCTCTTCAAAAAAAGTCTAATACAACTTTTGCATAAAATCATCTGGGTAGATAATATTTGTCCTTTTCAACATTTACCAAGGATTTCCTATGTCGGATTTCCTATGTATTCCAATGCCCACCACACGGTATACCGGATGTTTCAAGAAACATGTGCCATCTCTCGTGGGGACATCTCTCTCTAAAAATAAGATTTAATTTTCATATCAACATAGGTCCGATTCTGCTTTGTTTCGTAGCTACAGGGTGTTAAAGTCTTTTAACACAAGTCTTTTAACACCCTTTAAAGCATTTTTTCTATTTGTTGTAATTTTCTTCCAAGTACTTTTAGCGTTTCGAATGAAATTTTTAGGGTAAAAGTTACTATAAATGCGACATATTTTAAAGCTAAAAAAGTGTCGACATATTCACCAAGGACGTGCATATAGGTTATCATCGCAATATTTTTCTAAAAAAAGCATGTACGCCACTGACTTTTTTCTCTTGTTAGCGAAATAGTGTAAGCAGTTTAATGCCGATTAAAAGTTATCTCTTGATATTTTGTCGATTTCGGCCTCCTTGATGAGATAAACGCAATTTTATTAATTTGCCTTGATCCAAGTCTAATAGCAACCTTTAAAAAAATTTAATATCATTAACTTTTTTAAAAGAATTTTAAATAAATACTCATTGATTCCTCATCAAAAAATATGAAAAAAAGTTCGTATAAACATGGGTATGGAAATGTATAGTTTTAGAGTTACAGGATCTTAAAACTTTTTAAAATTAGGTTTTTTGTAATTATCTTAAATACCATTATTTTTTTATTTGAAATTGCTGTAGATTGGACTAATAGTAATAATAACTAATAGTAATAATATTTAATAAAAAATTAGGTAAAATATATGATTTATTATTTTCGTTTTTATTTTAATTTTATTAAATGTGATAAATAAAATAGCGTTTATCTCATCAAGAAGGTCGAATTCGACAAAATATCAAGAGAGAGCTATTAAACGGCCTACACCATTTTGATTTCAAAAGAAAGAAAGTCAGTGGCGCACATGTTATTTTTTGAAAAATATTCCAGTGATAATCCATATGCACGTCCCTGGTGAATTTATCTCCACTTGTTTAACATTAAAATATGTAGCACTTAATAGTAACTTTTACCTTCAAAATATCATTCGCATCACTAAAAGTACTTGGAAGAAAATTATAATAAATCGAAAGAATAATAAGACTTTAACACAATGTAGCTACGAAACAAAGCAGAATCGGACCAATGTTGATATGAAAGATAAATCTTATTTTTACATGAGGAATCTCTCAACGAGAGATGGCACATGTTTTCCGAAACACCCTGTCTAAAGTTGTACCGGATGTATCATCATGGTCCCACTAAGAACAGCTCTCGGCTGTATCTCGGAAAGTATTAGCCGTAAAGCCTGCGGAAAAAAATATTTATAACTAAAGGGGCTATGAGAAATTGCTGGAAATTATTTTCAAGTTTGTAAAACGGCCGCTAGGTGGCGCAACTGCTATGGAAAATAAGAAAATATATTTTTTACAGAATTTTGCCTAGATAATGGATACTATAAATAATAGCTTCATAATCTTCTGTAAATTTTGGATTTTTTTGTTAGAACCATTTTCCCCTATCTGCTAAAATAAAGTGGTGGGGGAAGGTTAGATCTATCTTTATTTAAATGTTAATAACTCCGGACTGGATGATCAGAATTCAACAAACCAGGGCTCGTTTAAAAGAGCGTTTCTTACTCTATATTATGCCATAAAAATAATAATAATAAGGTTTTGAACGTAGACGCTAGGGGGCGCTTTCATACAATTTAACAAACATAGCGCGTTTTTTCAGAAAAATTAAATACGATAGTATGTGTTATTTTAGCTGATAGTAAGGAGTAGTAAAAGCTTAAAAAGTCAGCGAAACGCGCATCTTGATATCGTCTTTCAAACCAAAGATATTAGCAAAATTATAATAAATACCAAAAAATAAGCACTTAATTACCTTATTTTTACAATACAGTATCAGTAGCCCTCTTGATTAGGCCCATTCTAACAAAAAAATAAGATAGAAACAGTTAGTTTATTTTAAAATCGACGAAATACCAGAACACCATAATACCAGATGTATTAATATCCAATAATTACGATATTAATAAAAGTGAACAAGAAACGATGATTCAGTGAAGTCATGGTAGGCTTTGGAAAAAAGTTGCTTTTCGCGTAATAGTATAAACGTCAAATTGTTATTAGATCAACATTTTGATAGTCTTAGCAGCGTTTTTTTATCTTTTAAATCCTTTTTCAAAATGCCTTTATTATTTGAAGTAGTTGAAGTTATTGGCATTTTGAAAAAGCAATCAAAAGATAAAAAACGCTGCTAAGACTATCAAAATATTGATCTAATAACAATTTGACGTTTATACTATTACGTCAAAAGCAACTTTTTCCAAAGCCAACCATGACTTCACTGAATCGTCGTTTCTTGATCACTATTAATAATATCTTAATTATTAGATAATACATCTGATATTATGATATTCTGGTATATCGTCGATTTTAAAATAAACTAACTACCTATTTCTATCTTATTTATAGGTTAGAATGGGCATAATCAAGAGGTCTACTGATACCGTGTTGTAAAAATAAGGTAATTAAGCGCTTATTTTTTGGTATTTATTATAATTTTGCTAATATCTTCGGTTTGAAAGAAGATATCAAGATACGGTTTTCGCTGACTTTTTAAGCTTTTACTACTCTTTACTATCAGCTAAAATTACCTATACTATTGCATTTAATTTTTTTGAAAAAACGCGCAATGTTTGTTAAATTGTAAGACGACGCCCCCTAGCGTCTACGTTAAAAAGCTTATTATTATTGTTTATATGGTACAATATAGACTAAGAAACGCTCTTTTAAACGAGCCCTCGCTTGTTGGATTCCGATCATCTAGTCCAGAGTTATTAATATTCAAATATAAACAGATCTAACCTTCCCCCACCACTTTATTTTGGTAGATAGGGGAAAATGGCCCTAACAAAAAATATTCAAAATTTATTGAAGATTATAAATCTGTTACTTATAGTACATTTTATCGAGGCAAAACTGTGTAAAGACTCCATTTTCTTATTTTTTGTTGCAGTTGCGCCCCCTAGTGGTCGTTCTACAAACTTGAAAATATTTTTAATTTTATAACTAAAGAGGCTATGGGAAGCCTCTTTAGTTATAAAATTTTTTTTCCCCAGCCGCTACGGCTAATACTTTCCGAGATACAGCCGAGAGCTGTCCTTAGTGGGACACCCTGTACACTTAAATAGGCCTGAGTCTAAATACCTTAAAAGGTGTACTGCAGTTTTCATTTACAAACTGATGTAAATAAATCATTTCTAGGGGTACTTCACTCTTTCGCGAAGACACTTTAGCCAGTCAAGCCAATACCAGTCCAAACCATAACGAAGGCGTTGGTAACACTAGCGAATCCGACTGGTCTCGTGTGTCATCCTCGGCCAATAGTTTAGAATGGGACAGCGTTCAAAATTCGGCGCAGTCTGATGTCGACACGTTAGATATCGATACGCAGTTTTTATTGAATGAAATTGATCGTTTGACCAATCAGGCTCTTAAAGAGACAGGTACTCTTCCCGACAGTGTAAGTTATTTAGACGACACAGTGTAGTCTATACTTTAGACGTAAATTTACGTCATTACTTTTATGCCATCAAACATTCCACTAACTTAACAGTCTGAGGTTTTTTCTAATATCAATTTTGAAACTTAAATATATTTTATAGATTTTTCAAGATTTGAAATATCATTTTAAAAGGTTGTTTAAAAGGTTGTATTCGTTTAGTTTTAATAAGATGCATTTAATCAAGAGTTTTGGTATATTTTTAGAATCATAAATGTATGTAAAAGATGTTTGTTGCATATTATGACGTAAATATTAAATACAACTAGTTAAGTATGTAATTATTTAAGTTTTTCAATATTTTATAATAATCTGTTCAAAATAGGATCTTCTATTTCTAGAGTAGATTAGAAATAAAATAATTATTTGTATATAAAGAAAGTTAATTGTTAACTATCTAAAGACTGTAAGGTTAATGTAACATTAATCAAAATACAAATTATTTTTGAATAGGTACTTGATTAAATAGGGATTAATCTGTGAAATACATATTACCAGAAGATTTCAACAACTAAGCTGAAAAGAATAGTAATATTATTTTTAATTAATATTAAGAAATGTCGGACTGAAATAGTCCAGACTAAAAAACTGTTATCAACTGGCTACTCATAATATACAATCAGTTGTTTAAGTATTAGCAACATTTCTAATAGGTTTGCATTAAATAACTATGAATAATAAAATACTATGTATAGTTTGTCCAGCGACAGAAATGAGTTCCACAGACATTTGAAAAAAAATCCACAATCAATCCACATTTTCCTTAAAATGAGACAAAATCTAATGTTCCTATATTTTCACGGAACATCTTAAGGTGCGTCCACATGCTTGTGATCCTGCTCGCGCCCTTGCTTCTGTGCTTGCGTTACTTGCGCTTCCTGTTTGTCGTGTTTCTCAAGATCTTTTGGCTCGCAAGCAACGGCGTCCACACTGTAATGTAGTGCTTGCGTTCGTGCTGTTCGGACATGGATGATGATGATGCCGAAGTATTTTTAATAGCGGCTGCTAGTGGGATCATTATTGCAAAACGAAGGAGACTAAGAGAAAAAAAGACGGTGTTGGATGTCTAATAATTTCAAAAGTAGATCCCAGTACAGTGAAAGTAAGCTTCTACACGATTTACAAACACACAGAATGTTTTTAAATAATTTTTATCGCATGTCCGCTACTGATATTGAAAGACTTTTTAGTTGGCCCCCGCATAGAAAGAAAAATACAACTTTTAGGAAGTGTATTCCGGTTAAAGAAAGAGTTAAAGAAAGATTGGCCATAACATTAAGATTCCTTGCAAGACCTTGTGGAGACTCACATACCAGCTTGGGTTATTTATTCAAAGTTTACAAGCAAAGCATTTCAAAAATAGTGCCAGGCGTATGCCAAAATATAAATAAAGTTCTCAAAGATCAGATTAAGATAAGTAGGCATTATAAATATAGAGTTATATTTTATTAATAGGTTAGTAAGCGAGGGTTTTAGGGTCCGAATAATGAACACCTGCCCCGATTGACCTGAAATTTTAGCAGTGAATAGATATGTTATATTGGTCCAACATATATATACATATATATTAGAAACAAAAGTTACATAGTACCGATGGGTGCTTTCACCCTGGGGGTGAGTGCCACTCCTTCTCGGGGTGAAAGATAAATCACCAATTTTAATTGCAAAAATCAATAAAGGTGAATTCTAAGCAAAAAATGTTTCAAAAACACAACTATTTTTAATTCTGAACAAAAAAATAAGAAAAATCATGGTAGCATCATCATACTGCAGTAAATACCGAATCCTATAAATGAAACTAAACTAAAAACTAAACAAACGCAAACAGCTCGAGCGCTTCGAACCGCCGCACATAGGTCATTTTATGTATTTTAGGAATTAATAAATAAAAAAATTGAATGTCGAAAAAAATATTTTTTTATATTTCATCTTGGAGCTAGGGCCCCATAGATATTATTTCTGCAATATTATATTTTAATATTAACAAAGGTGGCCATGGCGAGAATGACAATATCAAAGTTTGTTTGAATTATTTCGCGTTGTAAAATTACTGTCATTAGTTCATAAAGTTTCGAATTTTGTTGTTACGAATAGAAGGTGAGTTTAAAAAGTAGTGCTGTGTTATTGTGTACCATAAGGTAAGATTTATTATTAAAAAAAATAATATCCGTTTAAAAAGCTTGTGACTTGGCGAAAAGATACAATGTTTTAATAATAAGAAAAAAATAGTTTTTTTCATAACTTTGTATTTAAAAATGTTTATAATTCAGGATTTATACAGATTTATTTCAAGAACATTTTTTTCGTATTCACAATCATTTTATCGATTAATCTATCCTAAATTTAACTGCCAAGATGTGCCAAGAGTAAATATATATATATTGTTTTAGGTACCATGTCAATAGAAAAATCTCTCTTGTTTTCTGCTTGGTGTGAAGGCAATTCTTTGAAGAACAAAAATGCATCTGTTTTGCCATTTGTTCTGAACACGCTAAATTTAGGGCAACATGTTGGCGACGAACATTATAATGAAATAGTGAAAATTATTAAAAAATGTAATTATTATTATTATTACTCTTTGTCTAAATGTGTGGGAACACGGTCAAATAAGGAACCATTTATCAAAGAAGTTCTTAATTTACTTCGAGAGCGTACTTTACAGGCATCAGAGTTTGATGAAAATATTAGTCAGGATGATGATATCATCGATATTATGTCTCTAAAAGGGTACCTACATAGTGAGGCATCTCGATGCGATGTTCGCCGCGATGCATCCTACGCGCACTTACTCGTTTGCAGTGCTTAGAACGTGCGCGTAGGATGCATCGCGGCGAGCATCGCATCTAGATGCTTCACTATGTTTGTACCCTTAGTAGTGACGAGGATATCGATAGTGATTAAATAAAAATATTATTACATAAATTTCTCTAGTAAAATAGTGTTATTATCATTTTATTTATATTTGTTAAATGTTTTAGGTTGTTTTTTTCATTGTTCAAGCTAATTTTTACTTTCAATTAACTTTAAAATTAAAAATTAAATTTAGTAAACCTTCTAGATACTAATAAATTCACTTACAAAAAAGTAACGAACTACAGTTTTTGTTTGAGTTCGATATAATAAAATGAAAAAAAATAATATATTTCGTAAGACACCCTGTACAAGCATAAAATGAAAGAAAATATCATTATCCCACGCATTTATTTATTTTCTTACCAAACAAATTTATTTTTGTTTTAAAAAATAATTTAAATTTTAAAGGCATTATTTATTACCGCCTAAATTGGCGAAAATGACCTATGTGCGCCGGCCGTAAAGTATTCATGGCTCCGAAGCGTCTCTTTAGGCGGGTACGCATATGAGCACGAACGCGAATGAGGCAGCCCGAGGACGCATGAGCATACGTAGGTGTACGTCTGAACGAGGCGTGCAAATTTGTTTGAAACCGTATGCATTCGGCCGCGACCCGATCCAACTGTTGTCGGTACATCAAAGTGAGGCATCGCCTCGTGCGCCACTCATCTGTGCTCAGTGTGGATGGAAATAATAAAAAATAATTTCGAGACAGTCCACGTGTTGTTGTTTTGGAGTAGTAGTAGTGTACGTCTTCGTAAATTTTTAATAATAATATTATTTTTTAAATGCAATGGAATGGTCTCAACAAATTGTGCTAGTGCTTCTTGAAGAATATCAAAAAAGGGAGATATTATGGAAACCAAGACTTTTAATAAACTACTTAAAATTATAAAATACGCAGCACGTTCAGCGTCATCAGAATCTGAATCGGCCATATTTATGCATTACTACTACTACTGCACAAGAAAATGCTCACCATATTTATGGATCGATTCCGTACAACGCCTCGTGCGTCCACTATTCAGGTTACCCAAAACTATATTTCTTCCCAAGGCCGAACCGAATCCGAGGCAAATGGTTCGGCTTCGGATTGCCTCATTCGCGTTGGTGCTCATATGCGTACCCACCTTTTGATGTACCGCGAGAAAGCCGAACAGTCGAAACAGGCATTTTATGTGATCGCGATCGCAAGCACGTGGAGCACTGCGAGCATCGCGAGCGCCGCGTACATCTCGCTCCGACTGTTTCCCATGTTTTTCGTGTTTCATGTGTTCGTTCGGCCTGTTCGCGAGCAATGTGGACGCAACTTTAAGCCTTAAACGAACGCATACGGCCGCATGGCTTAGAACGAACGAATTTGGGAAATGTGCGCGTGCGGTTGCGTTCGCTGACTTGGCGGTACTTCAAAGGGAATACTACCGCACGTAAACAGATGTATGATGCGTTCACTGAGTGTGTATGTAACAGCGAACAGCGAAAAAGTACTTCAAACAAAATCACCGCATGTGTGCGGATTTGGTCGAACGTATGCGTTCGCTAAGTGACTCGCGGCTTTAGACTTATCAATTCTACATTACTAAAAATGAGATTGTCATACTCTATTAAATAATTCCGGGGACACGTATATTTTAAATCTAAATTAATTAGACACAACTTTTCTCTATAAAAAAATCGTCGTTTGTCCGTTAGATATTAGGTATGAATTTATAAAAAATAAACACATTTTTAATGATATTTGAAGAATCGGCGGCGGCGCCTTAACATTTGACTTTCCCAAAAAATAAAAAGGATAAGGGAAGGGTGAAAACTACCCACACCTCTCCATAAATTCTGGCAGAAAATAAATGTTTTGTAACTTCGACTGATTTTTTTTCGTAAAAGTTATATAGAAACAAAAATATAAGTACTTATATTTTTGTTTCTTGTAAAAAAGCGCCACCTCGCAAACTTTTTGGGATTTTTTTTCTCAAGATGACCTACAAAAAATACTTACTGTCACCTTAAAAGCATAATAGGCAGTAATTACCTAATTGGCGAAAATATGGAACGTTATATCAGTGATTATACCGTATGATCGAATAAAAACGGCGTCAACGATGGCTATGAAATGAAGATCGCTGTCATTTTATATGTAAAATTATATGGGAAATGTCATCGATCGTCATTTCCAAGCCAACTGGACGCTGTTTTTTTTCGATTATCCTATGTATATTTTTCCTATATGTATAGAAGGATGTGATTAATAAGTGATAATCATTTAAGCGATTATAACTTGGTGCCGATATTGTAATTGTCATTTTTTGAAATTTTCATTCAAGAAGCCATTTCTGTCAGTTTCACAAAATATCCCGTCAATTCTTATTACAAAATGGCAAAAGAAAGATTTGGTAAATATTTCTTTGTATAATCATTTGAATACAACTCGATGTTTCGGGATTACCTAATATTTTTGCCTGACACTCAATGCGATACCGGTAACACTACTCCTCCTTCGGAGTTCATTTCGTGTCAGGTAAAAGTATTATTCGGTAATCCCGAAACATCTTATGGTATTACATTCGATAATTTGACGATAAGCTTCAAAATTTAAAATTACCGTTTTGGGTTCATTTTTGATTGATGCCCTCTAAAAGCTGCGTATAAATATGTCGAGACGAGTGCGAGAGACACCCGAGACGAGTCAACCTCAAGCGGATTTGAGGTTGACTCGTCATATTGGGACGGGGTCTGAGCTTCGAGCCGAGCCTATGCCCAGCCGGACGGCGTTGTCTCCGTTTTTTCCGGAGCCTTTGGCGAACCATCAAAAAGATTGGGGCGTCTATTTAACCAGTGGCGTATACACCGCAGCTCCGCGAAACAATTGCCTCGAGTCTCAAGGGGCTCGGATTCCACATCCCATTTTTATATAAAAATAAATATTCTTTCCTTTATTTGTAATAATGTTAATAATGCATCCTAACTAGAGAGATGCAATTTTGTCTTCTCTAAAATAGTATAGGTAAGTTAGCCAAAGTAGGTAAATCTCATATACAAAGATTTATTAGTGATTTCTTTTATAAAAACATGAAAATTTTATGAAAAATGAATAAACGTAATGAACTTTTCGTCGAGTTATTAACGGCTCAAACGTAAATTATGCGCTATTTCTGCTGAACGGAATTAAAGATGTAAAACAAGCTTCTTTACATATAGGATACATAGAAGATAAGAGAGGCAAATCGAGTGTGTTGAAAAAGGTGGCCATGCTCTCAGAAGTTCCTTACGGTACTCTCATAAATAAAGGGAATCGACAAAGAAAGGAACGATTCGATATAGAAAAATCCAGAAATTTGAACTATCCAGACTACTAAGAAACTTAATTTATGGCAAATATGAAAATAATAAAGTTCCCGCCATAGAAATAATTAAAAAAAAACTCTCCGAGCTTTAAAAAAACCCTGTTCAGAAAGCACATTACGGCGAAGGTTTAAAAAACTGGGAATTAGATTTAAAATTATATACATAATAATATTTTAAAAATTATTAATAAGCGTGCTGCAATGATGGAAAGCCATAGAATAATAATGTGGCGAATTGAATACCTTGAAAAAATATACAACTTTAGAAATGAAGAAATGCAGATATATTATTTACAATATATGTTCCAGGTTAGTTTTGGCATTTAAATGTAGATTTAAATTAATAATTTAAATCTTAATTACTTAAATTTCTAATTTTTTAAATAAATAAAGTCGAATTAGGTCTTATCTTACAGCGCTTTCAAATGGAACGGAGCGTCCGCGACGGACCGTCCGTGACTTCGAGCAAGTACCATGAGCTTATATGAACAATTTCATCTGGATCGCGTATGCTCCGTCCGGAAGAGCTATCTTGAAAAAACATCCGTGCGGACGCTCTGCGCGTACGGTCCGCTCCATCTGAAAGCGCTGTTACGCTATTTAAAAATTTTATAGATATACAAACCACATACAAAATATATTATTGAATAAAATAATTAAAGACTCAAAAAAACGGCACTGGTAGAAGGCTCCGCCGCCGCCGCTGCCGTGCCGTTATCTCCAGGTATCTCAGTCGGCTTTCTTCAGTTATTTTTAATGTAAACAGTCCCAATATAATTTAAATTTATCATGAATTCCTTTAATTTATCTAGCTTGTTTTTTTACCTATTTTGAAATTAAATAAACATATACAGGGTATTTCAAAAAACATGTTCCATCTCTCGTGGGGAAGTTCCTCACGTAAAAATAAGATTTATTTTTTATATCAACCAATCCAATTCTGCTTTGATTCATAGTTATTTTATAATTAGTAGTTTATTTTTTATTCGTAGCTACAGGGGGTTAAAATAGGGTTCCCAACCGTCCTCTATTCCAGAAACAGTCCTCTTTTTGATCTGATTGTCCTCTTTTCTCTCACGTATTGAAAACTTTGTTACATACCAACTTCAAAATCTAAAAAATATTCGTTTATCGCCACAATGCTTTAAAGAATTGTTAATCTGTGTCTTTTATGTAATTTTATGTTTACTTACTGTTAGTTTATGTCTTGAAAAAAAGTTTTGTTGACAATGGTTTGCTTTATTTTAATAAGTTTTGAGTATAAATATTTTTGTTTATTTTAAATATTTATCGCATACCGTTTATATAACTTTTTGGTAAATTCTCGACATTTGAGCGACGTTTCAAAAATGTTTCGCCTGTGCCTCTTTTTATCCTCTCGCCCCTATTTTTTATTTTCAAAGTTGCCAACCCTAGGTTAAGTGTTTTATCATTTTCTTCCAAGTGCTTTTAGTAATTTGAGATCGTTTGATGACTGATTTAGTTCTGATCCGGGTAGTTTTTGTATAAAACAGTGCCACCATCGTCGATTTTTTTCGTTAAATGCGAATAAGAAAATATCCTGATTATATTCTGGCCTTATCCCCAGGGGGGTGACAGTGAAATAGGAAAATTGGAAACAGTCATTAGTGTCATTCCTGTCATTCTCCTCACGACAAGTATGGCCGCCTAGACAAGGACAGCATTGTTTTTGTCTAACTATTGTCTAACTTCACAGTTTAGAATTGACAGATTTCAGTTTCAGAGACAACTTCAGATTTGTTCTAGAACAAATTCGAAAATATTCGACGCCATTTTAATTCATTCCGTTTAGTTTCGTTTTGGAAGTTCATTTTAATATTTCGGCTGAAATTTATAAATATAAAGGTAATAAAAGTATATAAAATATATATTACATGAAAAATCTGGAGAAAACGACGTTTCTGCAGT